ACATTTTAGGCAACAGTGGCCAGAAACTAGGGTGCATTAAAGGAGAACTATGGGGTTAAGTCTTTTCCCCCATAGCTCTCCTTAGGGTAACAGGAGGACACAAACTAGCGTCCTCCTTTAAGCCCTCATTCACACAGGAATCAGCCGGCATGTACAGCTCCGTGCTGCGTGCAGGTCCGTTCCGAGCAGCTCCCGGGAAGGCCAGGTGCTGCGTGTGATTAGTACGTAGCCCCCGTCCTTCTCCATGGGACTACGCGGCCATACGCCCCCCTTTGTTCACCTCAAGTGCACGTCCGTAGGGGTGCGTCTTTCCTGGCTCGAACGCAGACAGGAACCATCCTGCTCACCCACACTCGCACCGACGTGCAGGGCGGGTGAGCGTAGGGGGGCGTACGGCTGTGTAGTCCCATAGAGAAGGACGGGGGCTGCGTACTAATCACACGAGGAGCTGGATGTGCTGGACGATTCCTTTGTGAATGAAGGCAAAGTATTAGCAATGAAAATAATGAACCAATACCAGAAGTTACTAATTTAAGGATGAAATATCAAGATCCATTTAGAGCAAGACAAATGGGCTGATTTACCAAAGGAGTTCCCAATCTTCCTCCTGACAAACCTGCACCCAATTTGAAATCTTCTGCCCCCATGTGCTCCAAGATGGAGACTCTCATAGTTTAGAGTTAGGACCGCACTACAAGAGGTGCCTTGGCGCGGCTGTGCGGCTTTCACATTCTCTGGTATGGGATCCTCTGACTTTCCACCTTCAAACATCTCATCCTACCTTCAAATGGTACTTATGGGGGTTATTCACAAAGCTGCCAAAGGCAGCCGAGTGAATAAACTAGCCAAAGTGAAGTGAGCTGAACGCTGTTCAGCTATTCACTTCTGGCTTGTACGGCTGATTTCAGCCGTACATCAGCTAAAATCAGCCGTACATCGAGAGCCTTTGGCATGGCTTGCACCTGCCAGAATCTTCTAGCAGGTCCTGGCCAATGAATGACAGGTCCCGGCCAATTACGTCATGGCCGGCTCCGCCGAGCTGTTATTATTTAATGACAGATCAGCGTCCCCAGGTAATTTGGGGACGCTGATCTGTCATTACAACTGGCCGGAGCGAGCCGTGAGATCATGGCTGGCTCCGTCCAACTGTCATTTGCGTGGAAATCGGTCGGCTTTGCCCGACCTTTCTCCACGCTTTGGCTGTCACTTCGGCTCAGTTGAGCCGAAATATGTGCCTTCAGCTCGGCTGCCTTCTGCTGCTGTACGGGCTATTGTGAATATCCCGTACTCTTCCTCCTGACAAACCTGCACCCAATTTGAAATCTTCTGCCCCCATGTGCTCCAAGATGGAGACTCTCATAGTTTAGAGTTAGGACCGCACTACAAGAGGTGCCTTGGCACGGCTGTGCGGCTTTCACATTCTCTGCAGAAGACGTGTATCCAAACCTCTGTTATTAACCTTAGTGGTGAGACAAGTTGTTTTACATGCTGGTTTGTGAGTGTGCCATGATACCTTTCTACTGTTTTACTGTTTAAAGCCCATTTTGTGTGCACCTTACTGTATAACTGGTGACAAATTGTTGAGTGCGTTTGTCATTTGTTTTGCTTGACCGATTTGGTGCAGCGACGCATGGGGGTTCTCAGCTGCCATTTGGATGTGCGGGATCCCTTGTGTGTTTCTGTGCCTTTAAGGAGGCTGGGCTTCCTCCTGACAAGCCTGCACCCAATTTGAAATCTTCTGCCCCCATGTGCTCCAAGATGGAGACTCTCATAGTTTAGAGTTAGGACCGCACTACAAGAGGTGCCTTGGCGCGGCTGTGCGGCTTTCACATTCTCTGGTATGGGATCCTCTGACTTTCCACCTTCAAACATCTCATCCTACCTTCAAATGGTACTTATGGGGGTTATTCACAAAGCTGCCAAAGGCAGCCGAGTGAATAAACTAGCCAAAGTGAAGTGAGCTGAACGCTGTTCAGCTATTCACTTCTGGCTTGTACGGCTGATTTCAGCCGTACATCAGCTAAAATCAGCCGTACATCGAGAGCCTTTGGCATGGCTTGCACCTGCCAGAATCTTCTAGCAGGTCCTGGCCAATGAATGACAGGTCCCGGCCAATTACGTCATGGCCGGCTCCGCCGAGCTGTTATTATTTAATGACAGATCAGCGTCCCCAGGTAATTTGGGGACGCTGATCTGTCATTACAACTGGCCGGAGCGAGCCGTGAGATCATGGCTGGCTCCGTCCAACTGTCATTTGCGTGGAAATCGGTCGGCTTTGCCCGACCTTTCTCCACGCTTTGGCTGTCACTTCGGCTCAGTTGAGCCGAAATATGTGCCTTCAGCTCGGCTGCCTTCTGCTGCTGTACGGGCTATTGTGAATATCCCGTACAGCAGTCCTTCGGTTCAACTGAACCAAAGGGCAGAGGCGGCCAAAGACACCCGAAGGATCAGCTGAAGCTGCGGCTGGATCCTTCGGCTCTTTAGTGAATAACCCCGTCTTTGGATTTGTAGGATAATAGAGGTATACAGTTTATCTAGGTTTTTTAATTATTGCGTACTGGGGAAAAACTGAAGTGGGGTGTCCTTCAATATCCCAGCCAGACCCTTATCCAGACATGCATCCTGGGTGGCCAAGAAAGGCAGGGCGGAGAGGATGTACCTTCCTGTACCATATCGGGTTCCATGTGTTTCAACATTGGAGGGGTACCTTGTTACCAAAAAGATTATGGTGGTTTGTGAGGGGGAGTGGAGCTTAAAAAGGAATCTGGAAGTACCCTTTAAAACAAAGGGAACCCCCAGATATCCACCTCCTTCCAAGGGAATGAGTACAGGAGTATACTAGTACCTCTTATTACTCATTCCCAGAGTAAAATGGTAATTATTAAACCAACACCGTAACATAAGTCCGTCAATTCAAAAACAGAAAAAATAAAATAAAAATGTCACTAATATTCCTTAATGTAAATCTATCATCAATTCCGTCATCCAGCAATATAAATACATAGTTAATCCACGCATCCAGTGATGTATATCCTCGCCAATTACGACAACCCACCAACTGACGATGTTTCCCCACCACACTCCCATTACTAAATAACAGATCATTGATGCTGTAGGAATGTAAACACAGCATAGTAGATCCTGGATGATATGATTGTCCACATTTGGTCGTGATTTATAAGCGCTGACACCAGGGCCATAGGAAGGGTAAGGGAAGTGAGGTACTCGCCTCGGGCCTGCTGGATCTGGTGCCCAGCGTGGGTAAGAGGTGGGCGGGTGTTTTCAGCAAGGGTGAGAAATTATTATAGCCTAACGCCCAGGACATGCAGTTCTGGGCACGGGGTGTGTGTTTTTTTCTACATTTATCCCTGCATCGGGCAAGCACGGCTAAATGTAGAGCAGGAGCAGGCAGTGGCAATCATCATGTACAGGAGCCTGCTTGTTCCCATCCAGGGCACCTGCTGCCATTTCTCTGCGGCTTTGAGGCCAAAAAGCCATACCCTCAACAAGGCAAAGTGACTGAACTCTGCACGAAAACATAGGAACTGGGATGCACAAAAATGGCGGCAGGTGCTCTGGGAGGATGAGTTTAAATTTGAAATATTTGGCTGTAGCAGGAGGTTTGTTCGTAGAAGGGCCAGAGAACGGAACAATAATGCATGTCTGCAGCAACAGTGCAGCATGGTGGAGGTTCCTTGCCTTTCTGGGGCTGCTTTTCTGCCAATGGAGTTGGAGATTTGGTCAGTATCGATGGTGTCCTAAGTGCTGAGAAATACAAGCAGATACCTATCCATCATGCCATACCATCAGGGAGGTGTGTGATTGCCCCCAAATGTATTCTGCAGAAGGACAATGACCCCAAACATACAGCCAATGTCATTAAGAACTATCTTCAGCATAAAAAACAACGAGGAGCCCTGGAAGTGTTGGTTTGGCCTCCACAGAGCCCTGATCTCAACATCATCGAGTCTGTCTGGGATTACATGAAGAGACAGAAGGATTTGAGGCAGCCGACTTCCACAGAAGATCTGTGGTTAGTTCTCTAAGATGTTTGGAACATCCTACCTGCCAAGTTCCTTCAAAAACTGTGTGCAAGTGTACTAAGAAGAATCTGTGAACAGAAGCTGTTGTGAATGCAAAGGGTGGTGACACCAAATATTGATTTGATTTGGATTCCTCTTCTGTTCATTTACTTTTCATTTTGTTAAATTATAAAGATAAACTATTAACACTTTCTGAAAGCATTCTTACTTTACAGCATTTTTTCCACACATGCCTAAAACGTTTGCTTAGTACTGTATAAATACAGGACACTGAGTGGCCAGATTATTATGACCACCCCATCAGTACTTCTTTGGGCCACGAGATGACTCCACGAGATGACTTCGTTGTGCCGCCTCGTGACTCCACGAGATGTTGAAAGGTGATGCGAGGAATCTGACACTGCACTGTTGCCCTTATGTTGTCTTGTACCAGTCTTGCCACTCTCCGTTATGCCCTAAGATTGACTAGTCGCTGACGGCCACGTTCAGACCCAGATTTTCGGCTGACAGTCCAGTCTTTAAACACTTTAACAACAGCTGCTCTTGAACATTTAGGAATTCTGCTGTTTTGCTGATACTCGCTCCATGGCTTGAGCGCCAACAATCATCCCACGTTCAAAGGCCGTTAAATCGCATTGTTTACCCATATCTTCAGAAAAAATGAATTCTACTGTCGTAAACAACCTGCTTCCCTATTTATAATGGTCTGGCCCTCTAGCAACTTCAGCGCGAAATTATAGCTAATTATAGCTTATCTGTCTACAAACGTCAGGTGGTCATAATATTCTAGCCACTCAGTGTATATATACCATATGAAAGAGGAAGATGTCAAAGTGACATTCAACTACCATAAGTGACATCTGCAGCCATATTCTTGTGTCTATGCTAAGTGATTTTACAGAAAATATTTCATACTGTATATTTAAAGTGCACCCGTAGGTTTTGGCTTTGACAAGTATGCCGGTACCACTTTCCTCCAGCCTGGTGAAACCTTCAAAATCCTTTGACACAGTGAGACAGACAATGGTAAATACTATGGAACTCTATTCATCAGGGGCTGTGCAATGAAAATAAACAAGGGTTAAGGTAGTGGTGAGGAAGAGCAAATAGGGTTGGCATTAAGAGGGTCGTTTTACCCCTCCCACAGCCTTAGATTTTGTACATGGGTGAGGTGAGATTAGGGCATACTTGCCCAAAATGCTGCATTCTTAGGAGTTGGTGCAAAAAAACTCTTTGCTGCATTTTCTGATAGTGGTAGGATCCCCTCTGATGACCAATGTGCCTCTGTTCCTGAGATCGCTGAGAGGTCCAGCTGCAGGCCACGCTCAAAGGCAGCTCCTGAACCACAAAATTGCTGACTACATCGGAATATGAAGAGGAGGAGGGTTAGGGTAGTGGCAGTAAGAAGGAAAAAATGAGGCAGGCTTGGTTTTAAATTTTTTTTATTTCCTTACAGTCAGGGCACTGGAGGCATAGCTCCAGGGTGAAAACCTACGGCTATAGGCTGTCTACCTTTCCACAACACAGGGGGAAGGACATGCAGCAGCATATGAATACTGCAGCCAACCAGAAGCTCAAGGAGCAGCAAAACTTAGGTTTAAAGTTCTATGGCCCTTACCCAGGTCTGGGTTTTTTTGTTGGGGATATATATACTGTATATATAATTCATTTTTTGTTAGGGCCTTTTTAAATTTCAGAATTACAGAGCATTCGCATGTTGGTGACACGGGCAAAGCTGCCCTTTGTTTGCAGCATGTCACATTATACTTTGGTGCACCAAAGCACCACATACTGTATTTATCCCCCTATTGCCATAGCTGCTAATTAATTTAGGTAATCCCCTTTATTAAAAAAAAAAAAAACATCAGGCAAGCCTAAAATGGGATGCAGAGGTTCTGAACACAGAGATAAAAGTTTTTTTTGGTGGTGTCACAAAGATTTGGATTATGCATACAGGAACTAGTATAAGCCCATGATCTGTGATGTGGCCCTATGCACAGGGTCACTGCCAGGCATGTATCTGCAGTACACATTCCTGTTTGAGTGCATATTGATGGTGTGTATGGACAAGCATGTCCAGCAGTAGTATTGGTACCAAGGGGCCTATTTAGGGCACTCGCCTGCTTTTGAAAGTTGCTAAGTGGTCTTCAGCTTTGGATTCCCACTTTTCAATGAATGCCTTTGGCCTTTTGACTTCAATCTTCCTTGCTCATTCTGCTGCTTCATCATATGCCTACCTCAGTATGTATCAGACCTTTGTCCTCACCTTCCTTTGTTTCTTTGTTCTTTTTTTACCTGCCTGATGCTGACCCTGGATGGTACCAGCCATGCTGTTCCTGCTTCTGTTCTGCCTGTTGCTCAACACATCCTGTAACCAATGTTTGCTCTAGTTAATGTCTCTATTGCCACACCTCTGCACTGACAAAGTCTTCCTGCCTCTAAATAGTTAACTTGGCGCTCGTGACACTCCATGCCCCTAGACTCCCTGTCACCAATGCCAGTGATGTTTGGGCTGGAGGTGCAAGAGAAGCCTCCCTCATAAGTTCATTCCACGCCGGTACATAACAGGAGGTCAGTGGACACATCCATTTTACATTGTTGGTAAATTGTCAGCTCCCCTCTCCAAAACTAAGCCATTTAATAAAGAATGTGTTTCTCTGACTCACCCGTATTCACTTGTGTGTGTAAATTTCAGCATGAGCTATTGACCATAGCTCAGACTGAATAACATATTCTTTTCAAACAGAGAGCCAAAGAGATAAAGGAAATAATTTGAAAAGAACTACCTGCGGACTCCAAAGGAGAAATTGATCTTTTATATCTGCAGTTCACTGATCAGGTTAAAACAATTTTTCAAAAAAAGCTAATTATACTAAAGAAATGCAAAAAAATTTACTTTCTTTTCAGAACAAGCACACTTCTAAAACCTTCTCTTTTTTTATACATTGGGATATTCAAGAATGTTTACAAATACAGCCTTTCTTCTATTTCTTTATCTAACCCTTGATCATAGAGCTGCCCCCCACAGTACCTCTTCTTCACCACAAGATGTCCTCATTCAGGGTTGAAAGACACCTATTGCCACTGCCAAGAGAACTGTGGAAAGCTGTTCCACAGTAAGTGTCATGGCCCTGCCCCCAAGCACAGGGCCCTACACTCACAGAAGGGATTTTATCAAAACTGGAGCAGATAAAATCTGAAACAGCTGTGCATGGCAACCACTCAGCTTCTCTCTTTCATTTTCAAATCTTAACTGAACAAACTGAAGAGAGAAGCTGATTGATTTCCATGCACAACTGCTCCAGATTTTGTCTGCTCCAGTTTTGATAAATCCCCCCTACAGTGTTGCAGAAAACAGCTCTGAAGTGACGACTTCAGCATAACTTTCTGCATCATCCAGGACCGTCCACCACTGGAAGAGGAAGAAGGGGAAGAGGACCCAGCACCCACGGGAATGGCTGAAAGACATCAGCAAAAGGCAAGTTAAAAAAATACTTCTGGGGGGACTTCATGGGGGGTAGGAGTCCTCTTGGAGGGGATGAAGCCTGGAGTTGGACTGTAAAGTTATTGTTTTAATCCTTTGGGTGTGCATAGTCCCTAAGATCATTGATTATTGTAGAGCAAATAGCATGTGCATTTACATTGATTTTGGAGATGTCCTGTTGGATAATTTTGACCCGAACATGCAAAATAAACCACACTTGAATATGTTTACTGCCCAGCACTGCTCTGCTTACAGCTTCCTACGCTATCAAGCGACCTGCTGTCAAATCAGCAGGATGCCAGATTGGGAGGGAATCTATAGAAACAATATGGATAAAGCTGTTTACAAAATAATGCAGAACAATTTAGGACAGGTGGCACAAGAATAAATTGATTCCTTAAAGGAGAACTATAGGGTAAGTGTTTTTTCCCATAGTTCTCCTAAGGGTCACGGGAGGACACAAACTAGCATTCTCCCGTGACCCAAAGCTCAGTATACCGCGAGCTACAGCTTACGGTATACTGAGTCCGCCGCAGCCGGGACGGATCCCGACATTACTGTCGAGATCCACCCAATTGGTTGATTGACAGCTGGCTCTGCCTATCTAGAGGCAGAGCCAGCTGCACCCGCCCCCCTCCCCGTCTGTTCCACCAGTCAGCGCTGGAGGATCAGAGCGGGGAGGGGGGATACCCTGCAGGGAGCTGTGAGTGACAGTCACGGCTCTCTGCAGGGACAATCTATTGAGCCGACATTCTGACCGCTTTATTGTCACACGTCGGTTCAAACTATGAGGTTGAGTGAAAATCACTCACCTCATAGTTCTCCTTTAATCACCCTTGTAGGAATCATCTAGTTAGAAGCATTTTGCATTCTTACTTCTTCGGTCTCCATTGTATTTTAACCTTCATTTGATACATCTGTTATAGATTTCTAATCTGGACATTGGATCCAATTTACAAGAGCATGATGTATTTAGTATTGTCTCAATTTGCTTTTTATGATCAAAATTGATTTTGCAATTCAATAGTCATTACTGCTAACATCAGATGAATTTACTGCATGCAAGTTATAGATTTTTTTTAGGCAATTCCAACTGTAAAAGTATACTCACAAGTATTACATTATTGTTCCTTTTTCCTGTGCGAACTAAAGAATCTTCTGGATCCAATACATTTTTGACAGTTTCAGATAGCTAGTCCCTCATTGTGCTCTGTGGTTCCACCCACTACCTTCTACATTACTACAGGACACAATAGTGACAAAACAACTGACAGGTGGAACCATAAATTGCAGTAGAAGACTAGGCATCCCACACTCCCAGAAATGTGTCAGATGCTGATGATATTTCAGCCACCATAGCTCTACAGGTAAAGGCATCAGGACCTCGCAGCTGGCAGGAGCATTTGGGTACCAAAGTAACTAGTGCAATCAGCATATTTGTTACAATGACAACCTGAGACTTGCAATTAGCCTGCTCGTTCGTCCTCCCCCGCTCCCCCCCATAGTCCACCCCTACCTCCGGATGTGTCTGTCCCCGCTGGCTACCTCCCAGCTCGCCACTGTGGTTTACGGGGGTGTCAGGACCACAGCAAGGTAGTTCAAGATGGAGAGCAGGGAGCAGAGCTGAGAGCCTCCGTTCTCCCCTCTGCTCCGTGTGAACACTGAGACATGAGCGCTGCACTCACAGCCTTCCCATCTCAGCTGTCACAGGAGAGCCAACAAAGTGCTGTGCTAGAACTCCTGTATTGGAAGTGACAGGTTCAATAAAAAGAACCTGTCACCTTCAAATGCTATCACACAGGGGCTTGTTGGCTCCTGTGTGATAGCAATAAAGTTAAGTGAAAAAATGTGAAAAAAAGTGGAAAAAAAATAAAATTAAAATTAAATTAAAAAAATTAAAATGAATAGAAAGCAAAAAATAGTTAAAAATATAAAAATTAAAAAAGTAGATAATAAGAAATAATAATTAAAATAAAAAACTTAAAAAGTGAGAGAGAGTAAATCGGGGCCTTGGGTAGGACCTATAATTTGCAAAAACCTACATCAAGTCTGACAAAAGCATGTGGGAAAATGTGTTATGCTCTGATGAGACCGAGATTGAACTTTTTTTGCCATAATTTCAAAAGGTATGTTTGGTGCAAAAACATCACTGCACATCACCAAAAGAACGCCATACCCACAGTGAAGCATGGTGGTGGCAGCATTATGCAATGGGGCTGCTTTCAGCTGGAACTGGGACTGTAGTCAATGTGGAGGGACTTATGAACAGTTCCAAATATCAGTAAATTTCATCACAAAACTTTCAGGCCTCTGCTAAAAAGCTGGAGATGAAGAGGAATTTCACCTTTTAGCATGTCAATGACCTGAAGCATACCTACAAATCAAAAAAGAATAGCTTTAGCAGAAGATCACATTTTTAAAATAGCCCAGCCAGAGCCCAGATCTATATCCAATTGAAAATCTGTGGGGTGACCTGTAGAGGGCTGTACACAGGAGATGCTCCTGTAATCTGACAAATTTGGAGTGCTTTTGCAAGGAAGAGTGGGTAAAGACTTCCAAGGCAAGATGTGCTATGCTGATGCTGACTCCTAGCCAAAAAGACTGAGGGGTCTATTCACGAAGCAGCCGAAGGATCTAGCCGTAGCTTCGACCGATCCTTCCGGCTAGCTTCCGCCCCAGGACCCCTTCGGTTCAGTAGAACCGAAGGGCTGCTGTACGGGCTATTCACTATAGCCCGTACAGCTCCAGAAGTTGGCCGTGCGGCTCAGCCGAGCCAAAGGCATATGCTTCGGCACGACTGAGACGAGGTGAAAGCTGAAGCTGGCCGAGCGGCCGGCCATTGGCCAGCCGACAGCCTGCTGCTGACAGGTGGGCGGAGCCAGCCGTGATCTTACGGCTGGTTCTGGCCACTTGCAGAGAGATCAGCGTCCCTGGTTACCAGCTAACCAGGGACACTGATCTCCAGACAGCAAACTCTCCCGGGCGCTCCGGGAGTCTCCCGCTCCCGGCCGCCCAGGAGAGAGACGAGTCAGAATAGAAAAAAAATAAATACATTTATGCCCATTGGAATGCATTGCTAGATTCCTATTGGCTATTTCAATTTGCAATAGCCAATAGTACACTAGCATTGCACCCGCC